TCATCATCATCATCATTATTATTATTATTATTATTATTATTATTATTATTATTATTATTATTATTATTATCTGGTGTTGTTTGATGTCGGAGTGGGTAGCAATTAAGGATTTGGGATTGTGGTGTTTGACTGCCAGCCGTTGTTCCTGGATCCTTGTTTTTAATTGACGTGATGTTTGCCCCACATAGAATCGGTTGCATTCGTGACAGTTGATTTTGTATGATAAATCGTAAACGCCTCCAGCTTTAACAGAAAGAATTGATTCTAGCAGCTCTGGATATAGATGACTTGATCCAGAAAAAAACTTTTCATTTTGGTACAAGAAGGTGACTGTGCTTTTGAAACCAATATACAATCTTGGCTTGCTTCTGTCTGCCGACTGTTGTGGGGAACGTTGTGCGTGTTATTTGCCTAACCAAGCTTCAAACATTCTTTTCAGACAACAGACCTGATCAGCACAGCTGGATACGACAACATTGTCCAGCACTTGAACGACGGCCGGAAGAACTGCAAAGAATTTGAGGATTTTTTGCGAGAAAGGTGTGTATGACTGATTTCCTGGGATGGCGAAAAGTTCTTGAATGTTCTCATGAACTTTTCTAGTTCCAGTACAGGTAGTTCTTAACTACCTCACTTAGTGACCATTTGAAATTACGACGGACCTCCCCAGAGCTGCTTAGGGTCTGGTTTCAAACTTCTGATGGCTGGCCACACACCCCTGCTCTTGCACTCATACAATCATACAGTTGCATTTTACGGCTGTTTGCAGTGTCCCACAATCATAAGTCAGCAATTTGCAACTTTTATTTCTGGTTCCCAACAAAAACACCCTGGGGGTATAATGGTTTTGCTTAATGACCGTGGTATTCATTTACCGCAAAATAGGTCGTACAGTTGGGGGCAGTCACATGGTGACCTCCTTAATAACCACCGTGACTTATGACTGTAATTCCAGGATAAAATTATGATTGCAAGTTGAGGGCTGTCCGAATGCCTAAAGGTTTGAAATAAGATAGGAGTAGGCAACCTTGGCTCTTTTGTGACTTGTGGACTTCAACTCCCAGAATTCCTGAGCTAGCCACGCTGAGGGAAAAGGGAGAGGTTTCCAAGCTGAGCCATGCTGGCTCAGGAATTCTGGCAGTTGAAGTCCATGAGTCATAAAGCGGCCTAGGCCTCAGGTAGACAACCTTGGCTCTTTTATGACTGGTGGACTTCAACTCCCAGAATTCCTGAGCCAGCATGGCTCAGCATGGAAACCTCTCCCTTTTCCCTTAGTGTGGCTGGCTCAGAAATTCTGGGAGTTGAAGTCCACGAGCCATAAAAGAGCCAAGGTTGCCTACCCCTGGAATAGGATATCAGAAGACGTAGCTTTAATTTTATTTATTTATTTATTTATTTATTTATTTATTTATTTATTTATTTATTAATTAAACTTTTACCCCGCCCTTCTCCTTACGGACTCAGGGCGGCTAACAACCAATAAAATACAAATACACCCCAAGACACCCCTTAAAACTTGGTTAAAAAGAAATATTTAAATTGGCTATAATTAATTAAAAATGTTTAAGAACCCC